GCAGCATCATAGGAGCAGAAAAGCTGACATTTTGGGCCTAGACCCTTTCTGATGAAGGGTCTAGGCCCGAAACGTCAGCCTTTCTGCTCCTATGATGCTGCTTCGCCTGCTGTGTTCATCCAGCTCTGCACCTTGTTGTCTCTAATTGGCTGGCAGCCCTGTAGTCCCAGAGGTGCCAGATTCGAGTGGTTGCCATTATTGGGAGTACGTCAGTTCCTGAACAAGAGGTTACTGGCAAGATTTGATTGGCAGGTCCTAGCGACAGGCTGAAGGGCAATGGGGTCCAGGTTTGAGGGGCCAATTAGAGGGATGTCCCCTTCTTGCTGAACACCAGCATATCCATCAAAAGATGATGGGTTACCCACTTGGCATGGGCCTCCCTGGCCACAGGTAAAAGCTGCATCCATTGAAACAAACAAATTAGCAGCATGGGCATGACAAAGCATTCATTTGAGGCCCCAACAGACTCAACAGCAAGCAGGCTACCTTCACCTCTATCATTCCCTGTGAAATGACAGCAGATCACCTTCAAACTCATGGGGCAGGGGCGCATTAAATCCGACTGATGATTTAACTTGAAACAGTGCCCTACGACTAATCTACAGTACTCCATTTAGTATTTTATACATCCTTAAAAAGGACCACATTCATTCACTTGCTCTCAAAAAAGTTAAATGTGTTTCTCGGTCCACAGATGCTGCCAGAACGGCAGTTCGTGATTTAATTTCAAATTTCACCTCCAGCATTTTGCTTTTCTGTTATTGCTTAATTCAGCACAACATTTCTTCCAGGAATGCCCACATTAAAAGAAGTTCCATTCATTTCTTCAATGGGATCTCTTTTACCTTGTTCACTTTTTCATTACTTTACATTTCCCTTCTTTTAATTGATTCGGTATCTACCAAACATCGCTTTAGAGCTACATCTTCTTCAGCTCAGACTTATTCTGTATGGATTGCAACTAAAATTTCACCCTCACGTTTTGAGTCCACCCATGATTATAGGGTGGACATGCACATTCCTCAAACCACTGTTGTTCCAGTGTCCCAAGATCCATATTCAGTGCCACATGCATGCTCTATCAATGTCTCTTTTCAGCAGAATCAACTATCTCAAAGCTTTCCTGTTTCTCAGTTACATTTCACCTGATGTAATGAAACTCGTAGTTTCAAAACCAATTGAAAAAATGGAAACCAAGAAAATAAACTGACTCCTCCTATTTTCTAAAGGAATGGAAGGCTAAGACCGAGATTGAAGACCAAAACTTCTGCAAAGATTGAAGCTGGTTTAAACTATATTAAAAGAGCATGAGCCAGTGGAACTGAGATGACGATCTTGATGTCTGCACAGGAGGAGGCAAGATCCAGGAGCTGAGATTTGGTAAATATACTGTTGCTGTAGTTTGTTTTTCCTCATACCTGAATATAATTAGGAGATCTACATCATCCAGATAATTACAGCAAAGTGGAATTGAGGAGCTGCTGCAGACATGTGCTGTTTTTGCTGCAGACTGTGCCCGCAAACCTCAGGCAAATTATGCACTGATGTTGCCAGAGGAGTACACTGCATCCTGAAAGAAGAGGTAATGAAATTCCTCCAAAAGGAACACAGAATTTTAAGGGACTCTGACTGAGATTGATGGAATATATGCTAAATGGATTGCCAAGCCAATTCTTAAGCCCTTAGTTATATCTGCCATCTACTGCATAATTTATAGCTTATAACCAATCACAATTTTCATCTTAATTCATGCTTAAGATATGTTAATTCTGGGTTTCAGTATAGGTGGTTCCACAAAACAGTATTTAGTGTTTGACTTTGGCAAGATAAAAATCCTTTTGTTTTAAACCATAGAATTTTGTGACTTCACTTCTTCAGTAAAAGCATTTCACATTTTTGCATTTCTTCTTTTAATAAACAAACAGTTACTGCTTTCAACCAAGATCATAACATTAATGCTTTAAAAAGCTATTTATCTTCCTCTGTTGCAAGCTCCAACAATTCATGGCTACCAAGATCCCTTCAGAGCTGTCATTCCCCTCACTTCACATTGACACAATCACATCTTGTATTGTTACTTCTTGCCACATATTAACGATAGCCTCCAACACTCTTCCCCTTTCTGACCCTTAATGATCTATCCTTAGTAAAAGACTCCACTTTATCCCTTTCCTCCCCCAACTCAATGAATAAAGCTCAACGTGACAAGGAGTTCTTCTTCAGTCACTTTCATATCCCAGTTTGCCTAGCGGTTTTTCTCCTACTGCAGCGTGGGCACATTCACTCATTTCTAGTAGTCTCACACCAGCTGGACACCGTCCACTAGCCTCTTTCCTGCACTTGAAGTTTTCAGTTCTATGGCCAACTCGATTTCACCGCTTCCCTTCATTCACTCCATCCTGCCATCCTATGAACTTACTGCACTCAGTTCTCTCAAGTCCAAACAGTTGTAATGAAAGGTCATGAACCTGTAAAGTTAAACTGTTTCTCTTTTCAAGACGCTTCCAGGTTTTCCAGCATTTTCTGTTTTTTATTTCAGTATTTCCTTTATTTATATTTCCTTCCTCTGGATCAGCTTTGTGGCATTGTTCTGCATTACATCTAGGGCTCATCAAATGGCACACTATAGTGCCATATATTAGCCCAAAGTTGATGTGTTGTACTGGTAATTGCAGTATTCGTAGGTGTCTTGGTCTTTGTACAAGTACCTGATATAGTAGAGGCAGCTTGTGAGTACCTTCTGATGCAATGGTGTTGGACAGTTCTAGATTGTCTGTAGAAAAAAAAACACAAGAATATAGGTTGAGCAACTTAAGAGGCAAATATGTTAGAATCCACAGAATAGGAGAAATTTCTGTGGAGAATTGAGATTCCAATTCATCCAATAATACTTTGGAACTTAGGCCCAAATAGGCCATATAGCCTTTCATGGCTGTTCAACCCCATATCAAGCCCATCCATATCCTGTACATAACAAAAAGAAAACTATTACTTTCAGCATTGAAAGTTCCAAATGAACCTGAATCCACAGCCTTTTGGTGGGTGAGGAAGTGGGAAGAAAAGAATTCCAGATTTCCATTATTCTTTTACATGAAAAGAGCATTTCCTAATTTAATTCCTCCACAGGTCAGCTCTATCTTTAAGATTGCTATACCTCAATCTTGATTCCCTTCCCCCATCAGCAGGGCTAGTTTCTTTTGCAGCCTTCACATTTTTAAACATTTTGATCAGATTATTGCTCCATTTTTGTGTTGAAGGGAATGCCAGCCAAGGTTTTGAAATCTTCAATTTAACCTTGAATTTATACAATTTAACAATGGGGAAACTTAGTATAATAGGAAAAATACTCACTCTTAATACAATTCATATTTGTTGCTCCCCAATAGCTTCTTCTATGCCAGTACTTCGATAGCTGCAGTTTATGTTCAGCAGTCTCGTACACGTGACAGATTCCTTGTTATGGAGGCTTGTCTTGAATTTGCTGCATTGTTTCAATGGAGGCCCCTCTCCAAATTTGCTTTCTTGCACTTGTATTTGTACAAAAAGGCATTGAGGAAATAATTATTCACAATCAGTGGCCCTTAAACACATAATGCCCTTTCAACCATGGCTTCTAGAGTATACAATAAATCCATAAACATATTAGTAGGTTAAGTGATACAAAAGGTGTGATAGTCACTCATCTGTCAGGATTGGTTCCTCTCATATTTGCTTGCAAATGGTGTTGATTAGGCCTACAGCGTGAAGAAAGTGTATCTACAACAAAACTGTGTTACTTAGAAACCCACAAATATCTAGAAATGCCTCTCAATGAATGACAACCCTGGAAAGATTGACACCATAACATCAAGTTGAGCAGTGAAGGCAAGCGCATGCGCAGTCTCGCCACACCCGCCGGCGCAGACCGGCTGAGTTTGCGCAGTGGGGACTTTATGATTTATTCAGTGTCTGGGGTATGGTCTCTAGGGCCCCTGCCCAGGTCAAGGATAGGAGTATACAGCCGGAGAGATTTATTCGCCTCTCTTTCGTGTGTGGAGGTCCTTTCTGTCGATGTTACTTACCGTGTAATTTAATTGAGAACTGATTATTTTGCCGGTCGTGTCTGATAGTTTGGCGAGCGGAGCTGGACGCCCTCGTCCGTGGTTGGGTAGTACTCTTGGACATCACCGTCCAGTATTTCAACAACGACCTTCTCAGCATAGTCAGCGCCTAGAACCTTCCACCGCGCGTGGTGCCCGTTGTGAGAGCGCACGGTAATTGTGGCAGGAGGGTGCCAACCGCCCAGAACCCCCAACTTCTCCCGGTGTCATCAGCTCAGCCCAATCGCCTCCCCTTAAATCAGACCCTCCATTCCAGTCCAAACCCTTCTGACTCAGCACAGCCCGAATCACCACAATGCATCCCCATCCTTCACTCCAAACCCAATGACCCCAGTTTATCGTCAACCCATTCCCCCCCCAAATCAATCCCACCACTCAACGTAAATAACTCAATGCAACTCCATACTATTTCACCCCACCCCTTAACATACCCCCAAATCATCCCAACACCCTAAAGCAACTCCACACCTTTACCCAAACCCCCAACTCAATGCAAACCACTCCTAACTGAAACCAAAATCCCCAACTCAACCCAGTCCTGCAAGCCAAGTCCCCACAAGTTAATCCAAATCTCTACAAACCCACCCCACCCTAAACCCTAACTCAATCCCAACTCAACCTTTCCTCTCAACCAAATCCAAACACAATACCAGTGCTGTACCTAACCCTTCCCAAGCTCCACCCACTAAATCCCTTTCTGCAAAACTCAATCCAACCCACCCATTTCAACCCTACCCTTCAGCCCAAACCTACTCAACTCCACCCCACAACCCAAATCTCTGCCCCCAAGTGAACTCCAAGAAAATCTCCACAATTCAATTCCACTCAACCATAACCCCTCCCATCTTGACACTACTCTTTAAACCAATCCTCCTCCAATTCAACCTGCCCATCAAGCCACCACCCCAATTCAACCCATCAACCCAAACCCGTCTATTAAAACCCTTAACAAAATATCCCAACTGAACCCTACCTCTCGACCCGAACACCCTCAACTCAAATGCCCTGAACTCAACCCAGCCAAAGTCAACTCCACAAACAAAATCCCTTCAATGCAAACTCTTCAAATCCCCTCAGCTCATGCCAACTCCTCAACCCAAAACAAGTGACCAAAATCTTGCTTCAACTAAAATCAACCAACCCCAAGCAAAACCCAGCCAATTCCTCAAATCCATCCACACCAACCACTCCATTGCTGCCCAAACCCCCAAACCAAATACTCAACCTAAAGTCCCTGATCATACTGACATTCAGCTCACTCACTTAGGGTTCTTCATTATCAGGAAAAGCTTGAAATTATGGCTATTTAAGAAAACAAAATTATAAGATACACAATTGAACTGTTCAAACAGATGACGTAGTTTGATTCAGTTGTTGGTAATTTGAGATGTAGAGCAATGGTAGGACAAGGAGATGTACATTTAAAATCCTTATGCAAAGATTTGGATTTTTGTTGGGGTATGACCCTATGTCGAATTGGCTAATGGAAGAGAATGCAGATGCTGACCCTAAGAAAATGGAGGGTGCCACTCGCCATTCAATATTGAGAAAGTAATACCACAGGCAGTGTGTATATACAGAGATAGTAGGTACTGCAGGTGCTAGAGAACCGGAGATAACAAGGTGTAGAGCTGGATGAATACAGCAGGCCAAGCAGCATCAGAGGAGCAGGAAAGCTGACGTTTCGGGCCTAGACCCTTCTTCAGAAAATTCTAGAGTATACAATAAATCCATAAACATATTAGCAGGTTAAGTGATACAGAAGGTGTGATAGTCACTCATCTGCCAGGATTGGTTCCTTTCATATTTGCTTGCAAATGGTGTTGATTAGGCCTACAGCGTGAAGAAAGAAAATTTTCTGAAGAAGGGTCTAGGCCCGAAACGTCAGCTTTCCTGCTACTCTGATGCTGCTTGGCCTGCTGTGTTCATCCAGCTCTACACCTTGTTATCTCAGTGTGTATATACAGTTGATCTCAGTACTGACCCAACAGTTGGCAATTTTTAATCTGATGACCATGATAATCAGGGATCAGTACAACTGTATAATATGCTCCCAAAAATAATTCTACCAGCAAAAAGTATAAGAATAATTAAGAACTTCCTGTGCTGTAACATGCGCATTCTACAGCCATAAAACTGGCATTGGTTATGGTTTATCCACAAATTAATTAAGTTCTAAGACAAATTAACAGCATAAAATTTTAACAATGGGTTCTACTAAATTCTGCGTTTGTTGGTGAGTAAATACAACTAAAATTATTCCAAAATGCCCACATAATATTTAAGTGCCATTTACGATATTAATTAGTGTGATCCATTTGGTTTGTAATAGCTTATTAAGCATACATTAAGAAAATTGCCTGAGGTAATGTAGTTTTCACAAATTGCTACTAACTAAATATTCATATTGAATTTTTTAATCAATGCCAAGTTGGAGTACCTCATTAGTATAAGTCTGTAATGTATATATTGTCTGCTTTATAGTGTCCAATGTAATGCTGCAAAAGGGGAATATTTTAAATATGTGATTGATTTTGTTAGTCACTATATTTAAGGATTTACATTTTGATTGCACTACTATAATATATTTAGGTTTCTTTTGTAGAATAGGTTGAATTGGCTGAATGTCTCTTGTTTGTTCGTATGTAGCTTCTGGAAATCACAAAATCCTCACAACAATAAACAGTTTATACAGCCATTTAACACACAAGGTTGTATTACATAGCCTCTAACATTTTCAGATGTCTCAAGGCAATTAACAAAAGTGTTATCAACAAAAATTGACATGTATATTTTTATAATGCAAAAATAGATTTGCATAACATTCAACAATATAAGACTATTTTCACCAAAGCTACTTGAATAGTTGCTGGGAGTTAAATTACAACTATCATTGTAATATCCCCAACAGGTGCAACTGCTTCTGCACTGAATTATGAATAAATAATTTAGATTTTGATTATGCATGAAAATACTTTCATTTATGTAATGAAACTTTCATAAACTTTTGACTTTGCAAAGTGCTTTACATTTTGACATGTAGTCACTGTTGTAATGTAGGGAAACAGCAGCCACTTTGCACACAGTTCGATCTCCCACAAATAGCAATGAGCCAATGACTGTACATCATATCTTTGACAGTTCAGCAGTCCTTCAGTAATATGCCATAGTATGAGCTGTGTAAGGACTGAGTCTTTTTAGTTTTCTGTATTATTAATTGTGGATTGGAATGAGAAAAGATATGTTTTAAATGGCTGGAGGATTGCTACATGTTTGGAAGCAAGTCACCTGACCCTCATTGTAAACATCTTTTTTACAGAGCTGCTTGTCCAAGCAGTGATTAAATGTGACAGTAGATGAACTGGAGCTGGGGGTTGTGAACAGAATGAGGTTTAGTTGGTCGGAGTAGCTGATTGACCTATGGACTCTGCTTGGCCAAGCTCATCCTCACCCTCAACAACTTCTGTTTTAACTCCTCTCATTTTCTTCAGTAAGAGGGGTGACCATGGGTACCCGCATGGGCCCTAGTTATGCCTGTCTCTTCATGGGGTACATGGAACATTCCTTGTTCCAGTCCTATTCTGGCGCCCACCCACACACTTTCTCCAATACATCGATGATATCATCGGTGCTGCTTCCCTGTCTCGTCCGGAATTGGAAAACTTCATCAATTTCACCTCCAATTTCCACCCTGCCCACACTTTCACCTGGTCTATCTCTGACTCCTCCCTTCCCTTCCTTGACATTTCTGTTTCCATTTCTGGGGATAGATTGGCCACTAATATCGACTACAAACCCACTGACTCCCACAGCTACCTGGACTATACATCCTCACACCCCACTTCCTGTAAAGACTCCATCCCATTCTCTCAGTTGTTCCATCTCCATTGTATATGTTCGGATGAGGCCAACTTCGACAAGGGAGCCTCTGAAATGTCCACCTTCTTCCTCAACCAAAGGATTCCCCAGCTCTGTTGTTGACAGGGCCTTCAACTAGGTTCAACCCATCTCCTGCACTTCAGCCCTTACCCCTTCTGTTCCCTCCCGCAACAGCGATAGGGTTCCCCTTGTCCTTACCTACCATCCCACCAGCATCCACATCCACAAGACTATCAGACGCCATTTCCACCACCTCCAGTAAGATGCCACCACCAGACACATATTCCTCTCCCCTCCCTTGTCCACCTTCCGCAGGGACCATTCCCTCTGGGACACCCTGGTCCACACTTCCTTCACCCCCAACGCCCCTCCCACAGCCCTACAGCACCTTCGCCTGTAACATCTGGCCATTTACCTCCTCCCTCACCAGTATCCAAGGGCCCAAACGTACCTTCCAGGTGAAGCAACACTTCACCTGCACTTCACACAATCTAGTCTACTGCATTCGCTGCTCACCATGTGGTCTCATCTACATTGGGGAAACAAAGCATAGACTGCGTGACCGCTTTGCAGAACATCAATGTTCTGCTCGCAAAAAAGACCCTGAACTACCTGTTGCCTGCCACTTTAACACACCACCCTGTTCCCTGGCCAACATCTGTGTCTCTCGCTTGCTGCAGTGTTCCAGCGAACCTCAACGCAAGCTGGAAGAACAACACTTCATTTTCCACTTGGGGACCCTGTAGCCCTCCAGACTCAATATCGAGTTCAATAATTTTAGGGCCTAAACTCTCCCATGTCCCAGTCCCCTACCCCACACACCAAGCCTTGTTATTACACAGCCTGCCATTACACACCACCTGTTGTTAGTCACTAATAGTCCCCATTAACAACTATTCACCCTCCCAGCCTGATCGTTATCAATGCTTTGTCTATCCAACTGCTCTTCTCGCTTTAGGCTCTATCCTATTATTTACTCCCTACCCCATCCCTCTCCCTGTTTTCTGCATATGAACTGACGTTTTCCCAGCCGCCATCAGTTCTGAGGAAGGGTCACCAGATCCAAAATGTTAACTCTGTTTCTTCCTTCACAGATGCTGCCAGACATGCTGAGCTTTTCCAGCAACTTTGTTTTTGGACCTATGGACTAGTGACCAGATATCAGTGACAAAAGCCTTTTGCTTGCCAATAATTATGCTCTCAGCTGAACAGATGGAGTTGTGAACAAGATAAGGA